CCACTCTCTGGCAGCAATGCAGAAGTAAGCCTGGCAATACTGCGACTCCCCTGCAACTCCCTTTTGGGTCAGGACCCCCAATTTGAGAAACACTGGTCTCCTCATGAAATCTGTATAGTATAGGGTAAAAGCACAAAAAAGACCTGATTTCATGGGGGGAGACCAGATATCACGGTTCGTGATGCGTTTTTCATAGCTGTGAATTTGGTAGGGCCCTAATGAGAGTGGCCCATCTCAAAAATTTAGGAAGTGAGATTTTGAAAGACAAGATTATCTATCAGCCAAGCCAGCTATAAAGAAACATTCCGTTCATAACATGACTTAAGTCCTATGACAGCCATACACCTTCTCAAATGGCAAATTTGGAAAAAGTCATTATTACACTAATTAGGACTTTTTGGCTCTGCTTTGTCTTAGTCATGTTCTCAAGATAGCTATTTTATACAATTTAACCTTTCGAAGGTTGATTTGAAAAAACAACAAGGAGTCCGGTGGCACCTTAAAGACTAACAGGTTTATTTGGGCATAAGCTTTCCTGGGTAAAAAAAAACCCACTTCTTCAGACATATGGAGTGAAAATTACAGATGCAGGCATTATATAATAACACATGAAGAGAAGGGAGTTACCTCACAGATGGAGAACCAGTGTTGACAGGGCCAATTCGATCAGGGTGGATGTAGTCCACTCCCAACAGTTTTCACTCCATGCATCTGAAGAAGTGTTTTTTTACCCACGAAAGCTTATGCCCAAATAAATCTGTTAGTCTTTAAAGTGCCACCGGACTCCTTGTTGTTTTTGTGGCTACAGACTAACACAGCTATACCCCGATAGTTGAAACTTTGATTTGTTCCATCCTCTCATAACAATGGCCACATCAACAAACTAAAATAACAGAAACAGCAGTGTTTTCCAATGTTGTTCATAATGTTGGCAAGAAGGCAAAAAGTCTCATCATATAATTAAAAATATTAATCTTCAGTTCAATTCAGGAATACAATTTTCCACTGGGGAATCTGGAAATTTGGTATTTTACAGAGGAAAGAAAAACTGATCTTGAGAAGCTACCCTCTTCCCCATGCTCCAGGCAAGGGGAAGAAATCTAGATGTATGAATCTATTCTCCATAGGGACGGGGAGAAGTCACATCATGAGAACAGTGCAATTCTCTCCTCCAAGGAGGAAAAGTTGGTAAGATTGGAAACAAAAGCCAGGCCATGAGAACCTCTAATCAGTCTCTGGTACCTAGAAAGAACCTGACAACAAATGCTACCTCACACAGACCTTGTTTCATTCTTATGGATGATAAATATTGCTTTTATAGCAATGTATGTTTAACCTTTTGAGGAGACTTGCTCTACTCTAATATAAAAGTCTCCCTTTTGAAAATAATCTGATAAAAATCGAACAGTAGTTTTCCTCCTGACTTTTGATCATCAGTAGTGGTGATTTTAAAGTAGTGATCATGCAAACAGAGAGAGCTTCCCAGAACAGAAAAGCAATTGCACACATGACTAATACCATACAATTACTCAAGCTGAATTCTAATAAAACAGATTTACTGTGATTTCATCCAGCAGTATTGATTTAAACACCAAGATAAACATTTTTATCCTACTACACAGCTTTCTATGCATCAGTCACACTTTCAGCTTTCTGCAGTTAATTACATTTGGCAAAATCAATATTTCAATAATGTTAACACAATAAGAGTACAGTAAAAATATACCTGATTATAGAAAATTTGCTAACTAAGTTTTGTAAGCTTCTTCAGTGTTCCATTGTATTGTATTTATTCTAGAGCAGTACAATATTCAGCATTCCAACAACAACGAATAAGCCTAATGCATTATGTAAGAATAAGCCTATTAAATCCTTGAGCCTGAAACCACGTCTTTCCCTCCTCCCCCTCCAGTTTGAAACTTGTCACAAACAGAATATTAGTTTTCTGTGCTTCTCGGAACTTGCATTATTCCTATCATTAGCATGTGTATTTTTATATATACACATCACAAGAACTTAAATCTGTTTAACCCCTTAATGTCAATGGAATTTAGTGCTTATAGATGGGAAATTTTGAATTCAAACACAAATTGCCATGTTTCAGATGAGTTTAAACAGCTCATTATAAATTCTTCCTTTGTGGCTAAAAGCAGGAGTTTGATTATTTATTTATTATTATTATTATTTTTAAATACTGACCTGAAAATCTTTTTACAAAAACTTAAATCAACCATTTATCATGTTATGAACCTGAGTCCTAAATGTAAAATTAACATCTGCATGCTAAATAGGACACAAAGCCATACTTTCTTCAACTTTAACACTGTCAACAGATGGTGATTAAAGGGAAAATTATATGTGTGACTCTCTGCTTTCAGGGGCATAGGAGGTACCAGATGATGTGGAACTAGTGTGGTGTTCCTGCATACGGAGGGCAGGATTTGGGGAGCTATATAGGTGCTATGCATCCCTTGCACACCATGGGGCTGTTTCCTCTGTGTGCTATCACCAAAGAGGTTGAAGCAGGGAGATGGAGCAGCATAGCAGAGGCTCTGTCAGCTGGAGTCTCCAAAAGAACACGGGGGGGGGGGGAATTGTAGCCCCATGATCAATAGCTGTTTGGTGGCTGGAGGAAAATTTTCTTCCACTGTGTCCCTGTGGAGAACATCAATGCACAAAACAGCTGCTAAAATCGTAAGACCTACTGTGTGCCTGAATAATAACAAAAAAATGAATGGAGGCTTTTCGGCCATCTTTAAAAGTGCACATACATCTTAGGTGCCTATAGCAGGATTCTATTCATTTTTGTGTCTTCAGTACAATGTTGAAGAAGGTGCAATTGCAGGACCAACTATATCTATACTACCACAATGAACGTAATGGGATGGCATAGGTATAAATGAGAGCAGAACATGCCCTGAAGAATTTTCTTTGATGTAGAAGATGCATAAGAAGGCAAGAAGCTGGCAAGATCACACCCTTACAAATTAATAGTAAGAATTTTTACTATAAGATGATGGCTGATCAGTCAGAAATGACAAGGGGTAGAAAGACCGCAGTCTATTAGTCAATTCCAGGATCACAGTGAGGCATCAAGGTAAGGTGAGGGATTTCCAGTAAAAACAGGGAAGTATTAATGCCATCATATAAGGCATTATTAAGATGTTATATTGTGTACAATTACAGTCATTCATGTCCAAGAAAGATTCATTCTAATTGGAACAGGTGCAGAGATGAGCTAGTAGAAGAATTAGGGAATGGAGGGCCTGTCTTATCAGATGAGACTAAAAGAGCCTGGCTTGTTTAGCCTAGCAAAACAAAGGCTGAGGGGGTATCGTGTACACACACACACACACACACACACACACACACACACACACACTATTAAGAC